CTTGTACTGTAATTAAAGAAATTACGTACCGCTAAAGCAAGCGGGGGAGTTATTTTACGACACCATGAAAGAAAATGACCAGAAAATGCCGGTGACCAGGAAGCAGGAGGAAGTCCTGATGACTCTTTATCAGGCCAGATTTTGAGCACAACCTTCCAAGGCGCAGATGACAATACAACATACCTCCTTCTGTCCTGTCTGACTTTGTATTATCTATCCAAAAATGGCACTGAATGTTTGCCGTATACGTGTACTGTGATCTGCCCCGAGTTCCCTTGGGGAGATAGGGTGGAATATAACTAAAATGTTATTATTCTTATTATCTTCTCTAACTCTGTAGTGTGAAGAAATTCAAAATGTATGCACTATTGAAAGAAGCCCACCCAACTGTTGATTTAAGGAGAGTCCACCAGCCTCCAAGGCAGTCCAATTTGCTATCAAACAGCTCTTACCGAACTGTTTAAGGATGTTACATTGTGTACTAGAAATGAGACATCACAGGCATAAGAATTACAGTTTCCACAGGAATGAGAATTACAGTTTCCGTTTGAATCAAGATGGAAAAACATGTGTCGCTTCAGATACTCCTAGACTACAATACACAACATTCTTTACCACTGGCTTTGCTGGTGAGGGCTCTTGGGAATTGCAGTGCAACAACATCTGTAATGCCCAAAATATAAATGCTTTCTAGGCCTATCAGTTTTGAATATGTGCTTGGAAGTACACATTTGTTTGAGAATCCTAATGCTAAATACATCAACAAATCCATAAGCAGCAACACCTAATATAAAAACCAAAATAGGATCAAATACCAACTTGGTAATCATATATGATGTCCCTAAAGCAAGCAAAGCAACTCTGTGAGATGTGGCCACATCTCTAATGTACTGTAATGGTTTAAACCATCTTGAAAGAGCATGAAGCATGCCTGCTGAAATAGATGAAGTGTGACAGAATAAGATTTACAGTGTCCAGGGGCTTGGCTCCAGTGCCAAGCACAGCCCTCATCATGATTAGGAAAACAAGAATAAATTATGCAAAACAGACGGAAACACAAAATGTCATCCAAGACAAAGATAGACATGTATGTGCATGTGTCTATCTGTGTTTTGCATGACATGTGGTGTTTTTTATATGTGTCTTCAAGTCCCCTGTCAAGTTATGGTGCCCCCTTGAATTTCACAGGGTTTTCTTATGCAAGTAGTACTGAGATCTCCACCTGATGAATTGCACAACTGAAATGTGTCAAACGTGTACAAGAACCCAGTTTTATTCCTTGCACAAGCAGTGACCATAGCACTGCCTCTTAAGAAATCCAGAAGGAAAGCATAAAGACGAAGGTCTTTCCAACTGGCTTCTCCCCAGAAAATGGAAAAACTTTGCCTCTGGATGGGGAGGTTCCATTTAACACCCTAGATCATTTATCTATCATTGTTTTCAGGACTAATTTCGACATAACTGCTTTTGTCCCAGATGCATTTCAGCCTCTAAATAAGTGTTTCTCAACCTGGGGGTCAGGACCCCTGAGGGGGTCGCAAGGGGGTGTCAGAGGGGTCGCCAAGGACCATCAGAAAACACAGTATTTTCTTTTGGTCATGAGGATTCCATGTGGGAAGTTTGAGTCAATTCTGTCGTTGGTGGAGTTCAGAATGTTCTTTGATTGTATTTCTCCAAGGTTCCTTTTTTTTCAACTTACACAAGACTCACTCAACGGGATTCTTTCATTTCACCTGCATACATTGTTTATGTTCACATGAAAGGTTTGCTGAAACACGTTAGGAACCTATCCCTGTTCAGCCCATATTATTCATGCCTCTAGTACCAAATTTACTATTAAAGGAGGCACATATCCACTTGGATAACTGAGGCAGACCTGTATGACAATGCAATGTAAATGGAAGACACCTGGGGAGTTCAAAGGAAAGGAAATGCTTGGGATGCAGAAGGCACAGGATCAATTGCTAACATGCCCGGGCAAGGTTATGAGAGAAGTAGTTTGAAATTCTGGGAAAAGCTATTGCCAGACTTAGTACATCTATACTGTAGAATCAATGCGGTTTGACACTACTTTAATTGCCATGGCTCAATACTATGGAATCATGGGATCTGCAGTTTTAAAAGGTTTTGCTGATGTCTCACCAAACTCCAAACCCCAGAACCGCAAAATCAAGCCATGAAGGTAATGCCATCGATGCAGCATATCTGGATTTCAGTATAAGGCCTTTGACAAGGTCCCCCATGACCTTTTGGCAAACAAACTAGTCAAATGTGGGCTAGGCAAAACTATGGTGAGGTGGATCTGTAATTGGTTAAGTGAACGAACCCAAACGGTGCTCACCAATGTTTCCTCTTCATCTTGGAAAGCAGTGATGAGTGGAGTCCCGCATAGTTATGTCCTGGGCCCGGTCCTGTTCAACATCTTTATTGATGACTAGCCGTCCCCTGCCACGTGTTGCTGTGGCCCACTGTGGTGGTCATGGGGGTTCTGTGTGGGAGGTTTGGCCAAATTCTATTGTTGGTGGGGTTTAGAATGCTCTGTGATTGTAGGTGAACTATAAATCCCAGTAACTACAACTCCCAATTGTCAAGATTCTATTTTCCCCAAACTCCACCAGTGTTCACATTGGGCAAGATTCTATTTTCCCCAAACTCCACCAGTGTTCACATTTGGGCATATTGAGTATTCATGCAGAGTTTGGTCCAGATTCATCATTGGTTGAGTCCACAGTGCTCTCTGGATGTAGGTGAACTACAACTACAAAACCAAAGGACACTGCTCACCAAACCCTTCCAGTATTTTCTGTTGGGCATGGGAGAACTGTGTGCCAACTGTGTTCCATCGTTGGTGGGGGTCAGAATGTTCTTTGATTGTAGGTGAACTATAAATCCCAGCAACTACAACTCCCAAATGACAAAATCATTTTTTGAGTGAAGGACATACATTGGGTTGTTAGGAGTCTTGTGTCCAAATTTGGTGTCAATTTGTCCAGTGGTTTTTGAGTTCTATTAATCCCACAAACCAACATTGCATTTTTATTTATATAAACTTAGATGAAAGGTTTGAAGGCATGATTATCAAGTTTGTAGAAAAAAATCAAATTGGTAGGGAGAGTCAATACCCCAGATGACAGGAGCAGAATTCAAAATGATCTTAACAGATGAGAGAGATGATTGGCAAAAAACTAACAAAATGAAGTTCAACAGGGAGAAATGCAAGTTACTCCACTTAAATACAGAATGGGGGATGCCTGGCTTGACATCAGTACGTTTGAAAAAGATCTTGGAGTCCTCATGGACAACTACTTGAACATGAGCCAACAACGTCAGGCAGCAGCTAAAAAGCCAATAGGATTTTGGCCTGCATAAAATAGGAGTCTAGTGTCTAGATCCAGGGAAGTCATTCTACCCCTCTATTATGCCTTGGTTAGACCACACCTGGAATCACACTGTGTCCAATTCTGGGCACTACAACTGAAGGGAGATGTTGACAAGCTGGAATGTGTCCAGAAAAGGTTGACTAAAATGATCAAGGGTCTGAAGAATAAGCCCTATGAGGAGTGGCTTAAAGAGCTGGTCATGTTTAGCCTTCAGAAGAGAAGGCTGAGAGGAGACGTGATAAGGGCCGTGTATAAAATATGTGAGGGGAAGTCATAGGGAGGAGGGAGCAAGCTTGTTTTCTGCTGCTTTGGAGACTAGAATGTGGAACAATGGCTTCAAACTACAGGAAAAGAGATTGCACCTGAACATTAGGAAGAACTTCCTGACTGTGAGAGCTTTCAGGAGTGGAACTCTCTGTCTCAGAGTGTGGTGGATGCTCCTTCTTTGGAGGCTTTAAACAGAAGCTGGATGGCCATCTGCCAAGGGTGCTTTGAATGCAATTGTCCTGCTTCTTGGATGGCCCATGAGGTATCTTCCAACTCTATGGTTCTAACATTCTAAGGGATGCAAACTGCATTTATTCTACAATGCAGATGCAACCTGTGTTAACAATAATGGGGTATGGATGGGCCACTGGTTAGACTCAGCATAGGTTGATTCTTGTGTTCATAGGTAGGCCACTAATCTGTTTCTAGGGGCCTTTCACACAGCCATATAACCCAGAATACCAAGGCAGTTAATTCACAATATCTGCATTGAATGGGGTTATCTGAGTCCACACTGCCATATAATCCAGTTCAATGTGGATTTTATGCAGCGGTGCGGAAGTGGCCTAGGTCATATTTGAGGTGCGTGTGGTTAACTTTGGAGCCTCTTTCTCCAAGAAGATATTCCAAATCCCAGATATACTGTATATAGTTGGTGAGCTAAACTATTAATTACCCTTGATCATTTCTCTTAATGTGCCGTTGCTTGCTGATCAGAATGTTAATGTCATTCAGTTCACAACAGTTTCGCTTTTCATTTCATATCCTTGTTTGGCATTAGAATCAAGACAGCCTACCAAAATGCTGCTCTTCACAAGACAAAGCAAAAGCAAACCATAAAACCACAGCATTTTTCTAATTACAATGACTATTTAATGCAGGATTACTTCAAAGGATTGTCATCTCCCTTCCTCCTTCACCCACATTTTTTCTCACAATTCCCTTCACTCTCCAAGTACCAGCAATAATAGTTTTAGAGTAAACATAATCATAGAATCATAGAATCAAAGAGTTGGAAGAGACCTCATGGGCCATCCAGTCCAACCCCCTGCCAAGAAGCAGGAATATTGCATTCAAATCACCCCTGACAGATGGCCATCCAGCCTCTGTTTAAAAGCTTCCAAAGAAGGAGCCTCCACCACACTCCGGGGCAGAGAGTTCCACTGCTGAACGGCTCTCACAGTCAGGAAGTTCTTCCTCATGTTCAGATGGAATCTCCTCTCTTGTAGTTTGAAGTCATTGTTCCGCGTCCTAGTCTCCAAGGAATTAACACTCCTTTCATTTTAAAAAATTATTATTATTTCTTTTTTGGAGGTGTGGGGAATGCTATCCAAGATTATAATGATACGTTACCTAAGTAGATCAGCCCAAATCCTCCCTGGGCAATCATAGGACCAAGTCTCCATTCTTTCTTTTCGTTATCTCTCAGGATAACTCCTTCCAGGAGAGGAACAGGGAGGTTGTTTTTTCCTTTCCTTTTGGGAGGCATCTCACCTTATTATGGGACAAAAAACGGGCAGTTATTAAGAAGTGCAGCATGCTTTTTGTTACGCACCCATTTCAAACTTTTCCCCATTACATCCCAAAATTTCCCCCTTTGAGACCAATAGTTTTCCAAGTTTCTTTGAGTTTTAAAAACATTTAAAAGCTGTAGATGTTAAACTGAATACAGATGCCCATTTATTCCCTTGTGTATATTTGAACTTTTGTTTACTTGAGAAAGAAACCAGTGAAGCTTTGAAAGATTGCATAATTGAGTGCTTCAAAGGACCCTTCCACACAGGTGAATAAAATCCCACATTATCTGCTTTGAACAGGGATTTATGGCAGTGTGGACTCAGTTAACTCTGTTCAAAGCAGATAATGTGGGATTTTCTGCCTTGATATTCTGGGTTATATGGCTGTGTGGAAGGGCCCTGAGTCCACACTGCCAAATATTCCAGTTCAAAGCAGATAATGTGGGATTTTCTGCCTTGATATTCTGGGTTATATGGCTGTGTGGAAGAGCCCTGAGTCTACACTGACAGATATTCCAGTTCAGACCAGATGTTGTGGGATTTTCTGCCTTGATATTCTGGGTTATATGGCTGTGTGGAAGGGCCCTGAGTCCACACTGCCAGATATTCCAGTTCAAAGCAGATCATGTGGGATTTTCTGCCTTGATATTCTGGGTTATAATGCTGTGTAAAAGGGCCCTGAGTCCACACTGCCAGATATTCCAGTTCAAAGCAGATAATGTGGGATTTTCTGCCTTGATATTCTGGGTTATATGGCTGTGTGGAAGGGCCCTGAGTCCATACTGCCAGATATTCCAGTTCAGAGCAGATAATGTAGGATTTTCTACCTTGATATTCTGGGTTATATGGCTGTGTGGAAGGGCCCTGAGTCCACACTGCCAGATATTCCAGTTCAAAGCAGATCATGTGGGATTTTCTGCCTTGATATTCTGGGTTATAATGCTGTGTAAAAGGGCCCTGAGTCCACACTGCCAGATATTCCAGTTCAAAGCAGATAATGTGGGATTTTATTCAGCTACTAGCGGTCCCCTGCCACATGTTGCTGTGGCCCAGTCTGGTGATTTGGAAAATAAAGTAATGAGAAACTGTTGGTTTCTAATATATGTAATGTGTTGATGCTTGTGGGGAAACTGTTTCTTTGTCAGTGTTGATATGGAGATTGTCTGGTTTGGCCACCCTGGAACATGCAACATATAATTGTCCTTCTTTAGGGGTTTCTTTCAAATCTATGATACGATATCTCTCTCTGTATGTGTGAATCATATATATGTATCTATATCTATATATAGATATCTATCTACATCTATAGGAGCCCCCGGTGGCGCAGTGGGTTAAACCCCTGTGCTGGCAGGACTGGAGACCGACAGGTCACAGGTTCGAATCTGGGGAGAGGTGGATGAGCTCCCTCTATCAGCTCCAGCTCCTCATGCGGGGACATGGGGGAAGCCTCCCACAAGGATGATAAAACATCAAATCATCTGGGCGTCCCCTGGGCAACATCCTTGCAGACGGCCAATTCTCTCACACCAGAAGTGACTTGCTGATTCTCAAGTCGTTCCTGACATGACCAAAAATCTATATCTATGGCTGGATGGCTCTTTGTCAGGAGGGCTTTGATTACTTTTTCCTGCCTTGGTGAAGGGAGTTGGGACTGGATGGTCTTAAGTATGGGGGTTCTGTGTGGGAAGTTTGCCCCAATTCTGTCATTGGTGGGGTTCAGAATGCTTTGATTGTAGGTGAACTATAAATCCCAGTAACTACAACTCCCAAATGTCAAGGTCTATTTCCCCAAACTCCATCTGTGTTCATATTTGGGCATATGGAATATTCATGCCACGTTTGGTCCAGATCCATCATTGAATCCACAGTGCTCTCTGGATGGAGGTGAACTACAACTCCCAAACTCAAGGTCAATGCCCACCAAACTTGTCTAGTGTTTTCTGTTGGTCATGGGACTCCTGTGTGCCACCTTTGGTTCAATTCCATAATTATTTATTATTATTATTATTATTATTATTATTATTATTATTATTAAACTTTATTTGTACCCCGCTAGCATCTCCCAAGGGATTCGATGCGGCTTACAACAGGCCGGAGCCCAGCACAACACAATACAACAATACAATATATAGCAAATAAAACAGTTAAAGCAGAAAAACAACAGCAATAACAATACAACAGGACATTATTAAAAACTGAGCCGGCTGAAGTGGGGTACAGGGTTAAAAGTGCTGAAAAAGTGTCGGGGGGATATGAGATTAAAGTATAAGTGCAGTGTGCGTTGAGGGTGATCTTGACTCTACTAAAGTGCTTCTGGGCTTTGGTAGGGGTTCCTAATCTGAGAAGGCACGTTGGAATAGCCAGGTTTTCAGGTTTTTTCTAAAAACCGCCAAGGTAGGGGCCTGTCTGAGATCTTTCGGGAGGGCATTCCAGAGGCGGGGGCCACCACAGAGAAGGCCCTGTCTCGTGTCCCAACCAAGCGCGCTTGTGACGCGGGCGGGATCACGAGCAGGGCCTCTCCTGATGACCGGAGCGAGCGTGTGGGTTCGTAGACTGTGATGCGGTCTCGTAGGTAGGATGGTCCCAAACCGTTCAAGGCTTTGTAGGTAAGCACCTGCAATTCCATAATTGGTGGGGCTCAGAATGCTCTTTGATTGTAGGTGAACTATAAATCCCAGCAACTACAACTTCCAAATGACAAAATCAATGTTTTTGAGTGAAGGACATACATTGGGTTGTTAGGTGTCTTGTGTCCAAATTTGGTGTCAATTCGTCCAGTTGTTTTTGAGTTCTGTTAATCCCACAAATAAACATTACATTTTGATTTATATAGATGTGGAAGGGGCCTGAGACAGATAAATAGATACTCAAGCTGTGGGTGTTAAAGTAGGTCTCTGTCAGTTTCCTTCCAACTTGAACTGGTTATCTGTGTCCACACTGCTTTGAACTGGAATATATGTCAGTGTGGACTCAAATAACCCAGTTCAAAGCAGATATTGTGGGATTTTCTGCCTTCATACTCTGGAATATTGGGCTGTGTGGAAGGGCCCTGAGTCAAAGAGTGTTGTTGCCTTAGAAAACTATAACTCCCACCCTTCCAGAACCTTAGTAGTCAAAGTGGCATCAAACTGCATTAATTTCCCAGTGTAGATGCATCCTAAAGGAACTGTTTTCCCCTTTTTATTTCCCCCTAACAGCTAGCCAGCTACTTACCTCACAAAGAAGAGGGTCTTTTCCTCTCCCCTTCCTCTTTCTCGCCCTGCAAACTTTGCTGCCTTCCTCCTCTCCCACTTTCAGTTCCTCTTGTAAACACAGGAAGGGGAATCCTTCCGTCACGTGGCTGGCTGAGAAGCATGAATGACAGAAACTGGGAACCCTACGTCACAAACGCGGGGCGGGGCTACGCGGGAATACAAAGGAGGGAGGCGATTGGCTAGCAATCCTCCCAAGTCAGCCTATCAGAGGGAGCCGGCTCTTCATTCAAAGGAAAAAACACACACAAGCCGGACAAACTCTTGGCGGGAAAAGAGAGGCAGTGGAAAAGGCTACTTACTTAGCTTTGCTTGTTTTTGAGTGGTTGCATACTAAACAGGGATTATTATTGGGTTGCTGTGCGTTTTCAGGCCTGCTATTAATGACGGATTGTTGTTGTTGTTGTTGTTGTTGTTATACCCATTTAAGGTGGGATAAGGTGTCAAATAGGGATATGTTATTGCCCCAACTTTATTCTCCATCTTCATCGCTATGATGCTTCATCTTGTTGATGGGAGTGGAAATCATCTTTCAGATGGCAAACTATTTCACCCCAGCAGAGTGAAAGCCAAAACCAAGGTCTCAAACATATCTGTTATAGAACTCCAATATGCTGATGACAACGTCATATGTGCTCATTCAGAAAAAGACCTACAAGCCACTCTAAACAGCTTCGCAGAAGCATATGAGAAGCTCAGCCTGTCATTGAACATTGAGAAAACCAAAGTGCTCTTCCAGCAGTCATCAGCCAATCCCTCTCCAATGCCAGAATGGTGTAGCATTAGAAAAGGTTGACCATTTCAGCCAACTCTCCACTAGACTTGGGCTCCACAGTCACCTACGGACCCACCGACAGAACACTGATCTTGGAAAACTAGACTTAGTGTCAACTAGACTTTACCTTTACTATTGAGGGAAGGATAGGTTGTGCGGAGGAGACAGACCTTTAATTAGATGTGCATTGCATTGGGTGATAGGGACAGTCATCAATACTCTGTCCTCCTTCATTGCTGGTTTGTCTCCTTTATGCGATCAAGTCCCAAGACAGAATTGCTGCAAGGCAGCAGTAGGCCAAGGCCACATGATACATTCCAAGACCAAGCAGAGATTTCATCTTGGGCCCCACTCTTCTGAAACCAGCACTTTATACATTGCCCTGGATTGATTTGGTCAGATTTGCTGCAACTATAAAACCTGTCATGAAAGTGGAATCGTGATTTTTAAAATAAATAAATAAAAATGCAACAATTAACATGCTGAATTTTCCTGATTCACATCATGGAGATTCAGCATAGTTCTAATTTTAATTATGTAAATTCTTCTAATAATGGACATTATGTATTGTCGAAGGCTTTCATGGCCGGAATCACTGGATTGTTGTAGGTTTATGCTGTCGCACGCAGGGCCTGAAATAATGTCTGTTTACAGGATGTGCCTTCTGTATGCCCAACGGGACGCCGGGGTGCCTCAGCTGAAGGGCCCCTTAGATTTCCCAACACAAAGTTCTATTGAGACTCAAAATAAGTTCAACAAAGTTCTTTATTTGGGCTTAAATCTTCAAACAAATGAATTAAACGCTTTATAACCTTGGAAAACCAGTAGCTTCCTCAATCTGCTATCAAGGGACAGGCAACTGGTGGTAAACTGTTCCTTTCTTCCTTAGGGAAATCCTTTGACCCCTCCCTGGGCAATTTCTCTTTATATTGCTGGCGTGAGGCCTCTA